AACTTGAAAAATGCTAGAATATACTTTACTAGACAACATTTCCGTCTTTTTGTTCTTTTGAGAATAATTTTGTTTTTACGCTAAATATTTATAGTGATTTTGAGAACCAACTTTTGATTAAAGAGATGTTTTTTTTTCGATTAGTAGAAACAAAAACTTTTAAGATTTTTTGACAACAATATCAGCAAAGTTTATTACTTCCAGTAAACATTCAACTTAGCTCGCAACTAACCAACAAAAACTGATCTTTAAAAAGTACTTATAGTGAATAAGAGTAAAACAAACTGTTTTGAAAAGGAATTTTGCAAACAATAGGTAAAGTTTTAAAAATTTTGAAAAGCAAAGAGAAAAAAAATAGAAAACGATTTTTTTCTTTTTGCTGATTAAGAATGTTTTGGAAATTTGTAAGTTTTCAACTGGCTTGAATAATATTGTGTTGCTAAAATTTTTATTCACACTAAAGAGGTACTCTTGATAAACCTAATTTTTGTAATATTCCTCGTACTTCATTTGATAATTTTTAGCGTTGGCGACAGAGAAATTTTTTGGTAATAGAATAATTAACTAATATAAATAATATTTTGCAGGTTACGGATGACCTTGCAATAGTTTTCAGAAATAGCTTTATCTAGTTTCTTTAGTCGTTTTTGGCTCTATCTTCTATCCTGATTACTCTGAGACAGTGGTGAACATCAACAGTTATCTTCGTTTTCATCGCCTCATCTTAAACGTTTATTCCAAGCAGAATTTGTTAGCATTATTCAATTTGCTGTGATTAAATACAGAACTGTTTGTCTGAATCTCCATATCATGACCAAAATAGAATATGAGCTTTATAAGAAATAAGTCATACAAGCATAACACTGTTTGACAAGTACTGTTTGCTATTCACAAGTTGTTACTGATAAATTTAGAGAGACAGCTGAAATCCTTATAAAGTCACAAAAACAATGAAAGAGAAACGTTATTTTTAAAAAAAAATGCAAGAGAAAATGAAAAGTGAATTTGATAAATTAACGTAAGCAGAAAAATTGAGATAAGAAAACCGGATTATAAATTTGTAAACCTCATAAGCCATTTTTAAATCAGATAAAAAGTGATAATAAAGAAAAAAGAAAAGAACTCTAAAACTGCTTAACTTGTACAATTTCATACGACTGCTGTATTATATTGTAAAATCGTAAATCTTTTTAGAAAGTAAAAGGTATGAAATAAGTTTTAAAGGTTTTATCTAATAAAGTTACTTCAAACGACAAGTTTTAAGATTGGTGGAGATAGATCATTGAAAATGTTGACAAAAACAAGATACATAAGATATTACTGAGCAGGTAAAAACTGCAAAAATGCTAACAGATAGCTGTTTTCAAATGATAGTAACCTAAAAATAAACAGCATAAAGAATTAGAAAGACGCAGAGTAAGGAAATATCCAATTTTAGAAAACCAGTAGTAAAAAAAATAATAACAATTAAGCGAGTATTTGATGAGCTGATTCTCTGTAACAAAGTTTTGACCTTCTTCTACTGAATTTTAATTTATCCAAATTCTTTCTAGAAAGAATGCAGAAGCAATTTTTAAGTACCACATTTTCACTACGAAGTTGTCACAGGCCGCAGAATGGTAGCTGCTCAAATGACCTGATGTCAAATAGTCATTACATTACGTTTGCTTAGAAGTTTTTCTATGCTTTTTTGTAATTTTTCTATTGCAACCTGTTTATTCAAAAATTCTTCAGCTAGAGGAAATAGTAGGCTAGTCTTACTCCGGAACTACTGCTGCATTAATGCTATCAACACTGTTTCTAAAACAAAGTGTAGCAGAAAGTTAAATGCACTGATTTGTAACAATTTTCTGTAACTAATATAACATTTACACCAATTTTTCCCCATTCTGTAAAGAAGCCGCTTTTTTTACAAACGATAATATATATAAAATCTTGGTATAGTATTTACGGATGGTTAAAAGATTTCTTCGTTTTAGGTTTCTTAATGTTTGGTCTGTTCCTATCGGCAAAAACCAAAAATCAAATTTTTGTAGAGTGCCAAGAAGGAACATTTTGTCTGCCTTATGCCTTAAACTAATAGACCACTTGTGTATTTGCACAAGTAGTTAGGTTTTTTCTGCATAACCTTAAAATATGCTATGTATCTCAAACCCAATGCATCTCAATGCATCTACGGTTAGGTAAAAGTTGCATAAAAAATTTTTACTTTTACTGACAGTTTGCGTGATAATTTTTTTAAATAAAGAACTTAAAAAGATTTTAACAGCGATTTTTTTTTATTTTTTGGTTAAAAGTTTTTAAAAAAAAACTATAGAAATACTACCTGTGCTACATGGGATCTACTGAAACAGCAATGGGGTATAAAAAATGTTAAAGCATTTCAAACATGTATTACTGAAGAAAATAGTTTGGATCCAGTGTTAAAATTTAGC